CTCCCTGCGGGGGGGGGGGAAACGTGACACCAAAAGGCCCAGCAAACGGCCCAGGGTAGTCTGTCTGTCCGTCCGTCTGTTTTTAAATCACAGCAACACTCTCCCAACTCACTCTGCAAGCTGAGGCCTGGGCCGCAGCGGCCGGCCCCGCCCGCCCTGCACAACCAACCACCTGTTAGCTCAAGTTCGGGCGGCCGGGTGTGCGGCGGTGCCCGGCGCGGACGCCCCGCGTTCCCGCGCGCGTGCAGCCCCGCCCCTGCCCGGCCCCCGGAGGCGGGTGTGCCCCGGGGTCCCGGAGACCCAGACCCGACCCGAGACAGAATCCGACCTCGCCACACTTCATCACGCGCCCGGGGGAGGGGGCGCAGCGCCCCGCCCCGTGGCCACGCCCCTCCAGGACGGCAGGCGGCTCGCGCAACACCCCCCCCAATCCTTCGGGGTCCCACCCCGAGGAGGGGTTGTGACCCGCGGCTCCCGGCTTCAGTTAGGGGCGCACTGGCGGAGGGGTGGGGGGGGAAGGAGTCTCCTTTTACCTCCCCACCGCGCAGGGAGGAGCGGGCCGGTCACCCCGCGAGAAAGAGGAGGCAGGTCGCAGGTGAGGGGAGCCACCCGGTTCCCTAGACCCCGTTGGTGGCCGGGTCCGCCTCCACGGGGGCCTTAGCCCGGCGGCCTGGCGTTCCCCGCCCCCGGCCGGCCCCGCCCCAGGATGGCCAGTTCCCATAGCAATCGCACAGACACCGGTTGCCAGGCAACCTCCCCCCTCCTCCCCGCCTCGGTTTCCCCCCCAGCCCCCCACCCCGGGCCTCCTCCCGCCCCCACGCCAGCCTCCCCCTCCCCTGCCCCCCCGGGGGGGGGAGGAACCGGTGCGGCCCCTGGGGAGCGCTCGGGGCGCGGGTTGCGCGCGCGCACGCGCGCGAGTTTCAGCGTGCGTTTCATTGTGTCCGTGTGCGAGGGGGGTGTGCGCGCGCGCGGGCGGGCGAGAGTTTGTGGGATCGGCGTGACCGCGAGGTCCCCGGCCGGGAGGGACCCGAGCTGGAGCCCGGCTGTCCACGCGGGGACCCGCCCGCGCGCCGGCTCGGCTCCTTTGTGTGTCACCAGGAGCCAGCGCCGCGCCCACCCCCTCCCCGGGGCCGCTCCCCGGGCAGTGTGCGCGTGTCACGGTGTGCGCGTGTGCCACGGTGTGCGCGTGTCCCTGCGCGCGTGTGTGCCGCTGCGTGTGCGCGCGTGTGCACCCGCGGAGGGGGGGTCCCTACCTTCGATGCAGCACACCCGCCACAGCCCCGAGTGGGTGAGGTCGCCGCGGGCGCGGCGGGGCGGGGGCCCGTCGTCCATGGTCAGGTTGGTGCCGTTGCAGATGTGCGCGCTGGAGTAGAGCCAGTAGTCGGTGCCGATGGCGATGGCCATGAGCGAGAAGGCGGCGAAGGCTCCAGCCGTGGTCAGCAGCATCTGCAGCCCGCGGTCGCATCGCACCATGGTGGGCGCCTCATACTCCGCCGCCCG